ACTCCTTCCCCGCAGATCTGAAACAGCGACTTATGTATGTGAAGTATTTATGTTGTAAATTAAATTGTATCGAGCAAGAAACTATTAATCGCTTCTTTTCTATAAGAAGATGAAAAGTAATTTAAAAGTAGCGTCACGACTGTGCGAACTATTTTGTTTTTATTGTACTCAGTCACTATTTTGCAGTGGTAATTGAAAACGTAATTTAGTTACAGTTTAGCAGTATCAGGCAAAGTAATTGGTAATGCAATTTAATTTAAATATTAAGGTATTTTTGCTGTCTTTGTGCCACAATGGTAGATATTCCGGAGGTCCAAAAGGACCCCAAAACTTTTTCGTGCCAAAGCCAATAAGGAAAGGGAGAGAAAGGGGGGGGGGGGGGCGCTAACGAGAAAAATTTATTATTTCGTGAATTCCTGTCAATCATCGTTCTTCATTCCACTTTTTTTACATTATTATTGTCATTATAATCACTCTCCTGAGAGGGAGACCACCGTTGATTGGAGCAGCGTATTATATTTCCATGCCAGCGGGTCCCAAACTAACCATCGACCAGTTTGACTCATAAATATACGATGTGCCTCACCGTTCAAGCTTTATATATATATATATATATATATATATATATATATATATATATATATATGTAGAAAGAAATTTTAAAAAAAAAGTAGTAAAGAAGAAATCAGCGTATCAGGCTCACGCGATAGAAATTAATCAAAGCGTCCACGTAATCATCCTTCAGGGTCCGGCCAAATAAGTGCCTCAGGCCTGGAGAAAAATTAGGAGACAACGCCCACACACTGCCCAAGCTTCCTTCTATTAACGCGGGCAGAGAAATGAGGTCGACAAAAAAAAACACTCTGAAGTAAATAAAATATAAGCCGAAGTCAATACGCTTAAGCTCCTCGCCTTTTTTCTTTTTTTTTTTGTCCTCTTTGAATATGTTTGAGTATAAGTTAGAAAAAAGAGGGGTGGGGGGCAGCACAAAGGACGCTAAAAACTGATCTATGAATAAAAAAATTAACAACTTTTCTCTTTTTTTTTTTTGCGAAAGTCACGCATTTTATTAATGTCGAAAACAAAAAAAAAAACGTTTCGAAGTGGTGGTCAACTTCTGTTTCTCCCGAAAGCACAAGTCATTACTACGAAATGATAAACCGTGACCATGTGTAGAGTACAACCTTCGGATTTCAGTTGTGTTGAAGAGAGCTAGCGTATTCACAAAAGCGGGAGACAACGTACCCCTAGTGAAAAAGTCATTTGTATAAGAAATTTCTTGTGTCCAATAAACACATATGAATCATACATGATATATAAGAACAAATAAGAAACATATAAGACCTATATAAGAACTATAAAAGATATATAAGAACCATATAAGAAACTTATGAGAATCTTCTTACAAGTTTATTATATGGCGCTTGTATGTTCTTATATCTCTTATATAGTTCTTATATATTTCTTATATGGTTTTTATATGTTCTCATATATCTTGTATGATTCATATGTGTTTATTGGACACAGAAATTTCTCATACAAATGAGAATTTTCAATAATGACGTGTTAAAAGTTTCCTCGGTGCAAGTATTTCGCAGAATCATTTTATGTCTCACTTTTTTTTTTCTCTGGTGCTTCGTTTCTTTAAGCGGACGGGTGAGAGACTCAGTTAGAATAATAAAAAAAAGAAGTAAAAACTAAGAAAAATCTTAGAATGCAGAATAAGAAAATAAGGTATGTGGACGAATTCGCGCTTCCGATATAAAATCCTGGTGTAATAGACAACAATTTCTGCTCAGTTGTACGATGACATAATGTATTCCCGCGACTTATTTTATATTTTACGTGCACATTTGGCTGCTGGTAAATCTTCATAGGGTTCGTTTCCTAATCCCGAGGAAAACAACAATCTACGCGCCTTTGAACACTGGAAGGTGAAGTGGGCTAGATTTCGCAGTAAGGGACTTTGGTGCATGCCGTATACTGATTAAACGTTCATTTCTTCGTCAACCTAGCGCAACGTTCCAATCAGCTGTCGCTGTACAGTGACGAGCCACAATGGTTTATGATTTGCTATACCCGCACGACTACGGTAGGGTTTTACTCGTGTTTTATGTTCTTTTGAATGTCAACCGGGGGCTTTGCACGACCGTGTTTGATTTCACTAACGCGGTACAAAATGTAGCCGTAGAACCCAACCCTAGACAGTACAAAATACAGAACTGATAGGCTCAGTGCCTAACGACTGAGCCAACGCTGGCGCTCAAGCCATTCCTTTAAACACCTGACAGATTGAGGACGTGATGCACTTCTTCGGGCTCACACATTCAAACGGGATTACTTTCCAAAATGGCGACTGAAACTGACAAATTCAGAAGCATACCTGTGAATCGCTCAAAAAAATCCACTGGGGCCATCAAGATGCGGGAGGAACCAATGGCGTCGAAGAACCCCACGACTCAAAAATCCAGAATCCAATGAACCGAGCCGAGCCGAGCCAAAGAAGGGGGGGACGACGACGGGGATGAAAAAGAACGCCATTTGCCATTGTGACCGGGAACCCTCCTCCGAAGCAGACGACAGCAGCCGAAAACGAAACCAAAGAAAAACCGAAAGCGGGCGACGATCGCGCGCGCGGACAACGCGGACGACAGCCGACGACAGCCAATCAACAGTGAGAGGCGTCCCCCGTTCTCATGGCGACGGGTGTGGCCGCTGGGTACGCGGTTGCCGGGGCAACGGTTTGCAGACGATCGGCTGCGCTAGGCCGGCCGACCGAACGTGCGGCAGTCGTGGTATTCCTCGCTACTTTTGCTCTTGGACTGCTCAAATTACGTGTGTTTACTTCGTTCTTAGACGCATATTTAGTTCGAAGGTGTTTAGTCTTCCACGTCGGCTTCTCTGCATCTCCCTCGTGGGAGATGGTAAAAGCCTTGCGCCGAGAGTAAGTGTCGATTAGTATCTGTTCGTTGTTTTCTTTATGAGTAGTTTTGGACACAGACCGCGCTTCGATTTTCTATGGTCTTAGTTTTACTATATCTATTTCATAAATCATTCACGAGGGGAGAGGTTTGAAAAACTTCATTACCGTCCTCGTTTCATGGGTGTTTCCTTCCTATGCGGAGCGCGAGTGCTTGTTTCACAGAGGTTGCGATGATGTCAGAACGCCTAACTCTTAGTTTCTGATTAAAAAAAAAAAAAAAATAGTGGGTAGACCTCAAGGCATGTAGCATTGAGGTCTACCCACTATCCTTTTATCCTTTTAAGAAGCAGACGACTTGCTGTACGCATTGATATCAGCTAAGCTATGTTTATTGTGAGCTGCAACCTTCGCATCTGCGTGAGTAAACATAGGCTGCTTAAGAAACCTTCCACATCTGTAGTGTCCACTAGCCTGCCTAAACCATCTGTTTTATATATTGTGTTGATTTTAGCCCGACAGGTTCAACGCTCGATGTAAACAAGTAGGTCAAGAGTCAGAATAAAAGAATTCATGGCATTTCCTTTTATAACCGGGTATGAGATAACGAATCATTTGTTAGAACCACGAGGTAACTCCTTTGACCGAAAGCTACCCGGACTGTTTGGTTGACTTTAGTGCCCTAATTACAAACTCACTGGCACCTGGAGTGTGTTAACCAACACTCAGAGAGATTTAATCGTAAAAGAAAAAAAAAATATTGTCACGAATGAGAAGTAGAACGTTTCTGCTGATAAGTGGAGAAAACTAAAGGTTAATGGGGCGAACATACGTCAAAATAAGGTACCATAAGGAGCGTCGCGGGTGTCAATGTAGGCCAGTCAGCGGAATTGAGCGCTAGTCGGATCTCGGATCCAATCACGCGCTTCGCGTCCAAGCAATGGCGACCGCCAATTTTAATAATTAGGGGCTGTATGGATATTTAGACAGCGTGTAGTTGGTCAGCCATAACTGGCAACTATGGTTTTAAGCGATAACTGGCAACTATGATTTTAAGCACAAAGATGGCTGAAATGTCCTTACCCTTGAACCTTATATTTAGTGACTCTAACTACATTGAGTAAAGAGAGTGTAGCATTTCGATGCTCTTTCCTTGTAATAAAACTTGTTCTTTCTTTTTCATCTTTTTTTTTTTTAAGTAATAGTTTCAGTAAAGTATTATATTTTGAACGAATTTCTTCATCATGAAAAGTGAGTAACTTGGCTTGACGCGCTGTCTGAACGTCTAACGATTTTAACACTTTACTTAAGTGTAACGCTATTATTATTAAATAAGCGCGACGCTCCGACACACACACACACACAGAAGAACTTCCTTGCCGTTACGAAAATGAGGGAATAAAAGAGCAGTTTTTGGTAACTGCCGAGCTGCATATGACGTTAAGTTTTGTATACCGTGTCTAATAATAGGTCATCTTAAGTCGCCTGATACAGTTTATTCTTATTTTTATATTTCGAATTGATTGGAAATCTGCGTAACAAATGGTTCCGTTCAAAGTATCAAGCCTCGTCTGAAACTGTCCGATTTGGAAAGCGCATAATTTTCAACTTGAGCACTCGTCGATTCAGACACACGTGTATGTAAGCTTCCCACTGCATCAAATGCGACGAACTTACTTCGAAAGTCCAAACGCTGTCAAGCAACATTGGGGAGAACATTCAACCGTCACGCCCCTAAGCGGTAATGCACAGAACTAAAACAACGGGGACAACAGTAACACGGATAATAGGGAGTTGTAGTAGATCGTTTTTTTTCCCCGCTTCGGTATCCCCGAAGAAAACGCCGCAGCTGCGCATGCGCGCCGCCAGCTTTGTCTGCATAGTACAAGGTCTTGTGGCGGATTACGGAGCGCTATCCGGGTGCTTAGCGGGTTGCGGAAACGCTCTACTACAATTCCCTAATTTGTTGGTGTTTCTGACGTAGAGACGTTCGGCCGGGGCTCGTATTGATCCAGTGAAGCACCAATCGAACGAGGGTTCCAGCCAAACGGTGACCACACCTAGCACTCGTATTCTGTTGCAGATCGGCTACGCCGCCACAAGCACAGTGGCGCTTGTCATCTTATCTTCCACCTTCTCTCTCCCTTTCCCTCTCGCCTTCCCCTTGCCTGTCTACCATATAAAGCGCAAGCTGCGCACGAATAAACGTTGATTACCAGCCGCTATCGTCACGTTCTTGCGGCGTCGTAACAGTGGCGACGACGATGCGATAGTATATCTTCCGCTGCTCTGTCGGCAGACATGGTCAGCTATGCAGTTCCGCCGCAGTTCGACGAGGCCGTTGACAAATGGCCCGCTTACCAAATCCGTCTGGAGGCGTTCTTCGAAGGCAACGGGGTGACAGACGGGAAGAAGAAACGCGCCTTACTCGTCGCAGCGCTGAGTACCAACACCGTGGACGTCATCAGCGGACGCTGTGCTCCAGCAAAGGTAAATGAGCTTCCGTACAGCGAAGTGGTCAGCCTTCTGCAGCAACATTTCTCGCCAAAACTGAACGAAACGGCCCAGTCGTATAAGTTCTTCTCCCGCAACCAGCTGCCGGGGGAACCGGTAAGAGACTTCGTTGTGGCCATCCGACAAATAGCAGACACGTGCAACTTCGGGGACACATTGGACCGGATGCTGAAGGATCGGATAGTCTGCGGCCTCCAAAATTCAACGGTGCGTCGGCAACTTTTGGCTAAGCCGTTCTTGACGAGAACCGAAGCCGAGGAAGTCGCCGTAGCAGCAGAAATGGCGGAAGAAAATGTAAAGGAAATGCAACGCGCCACGACAGAGGATGGGGGCGTGCACGCCGTGGGAAGCAGGACGGCAAGGCAGAAATGGCGGGAGACTGAGTCGCCGTGTTCCAGGTGTGGCAGAGGGGGACACCAGCCAGACGCGTGCCGTTTTCGGTCAGCGCAATGCTACAACTGCCGCCAACGAGGTCATATCGCCAAGGCTTGTTTCCGTCGCGCCGACAGACCAGTCACCGCGTCAACAAGGCCAACCCAACAGCACGTCAATGCACTGGCCCCGCGGGATGAACAAGAGTGGGATACCAGAACAGAGGGCCTGTTCATGTTGGGGGCGTCAATGGAACACGTCGGGCACATCGAGACCACTCAGCCTATTGCGGGTACCTTCGACTGGGGGGGCGTGCCTGTCAACATGCAACTCGATACGGGGTCTCCGGTGTCGGTCATCACGTGGCCTACCTACATGCGGCACAAAGCTGCGTGGCCGAGCCTCCAGGATTCTCCTCTGAAGTTGACTTGTTTCCTCGGAAAACTACCAGTGCGCGGGCAGCTGAAGCTCAAGGTGGCCTTGGGAGACCAAGCCAGGGAAGGAACACTGACTGTCCTGGGCTGCTCCGGCCCCAACCTGTGTGGACGCGACCTCATACACGCATTCGACCTGCTGGAGATGCCGGTACTCAGCGTAGCAACAGAAGGTGAGCCTTCGGCCTCCAGTTTCGTGGACAAGGTCAATCTCAAGGGGTTGCTAGACGAATTCGCGGAAGTGTTCGAGCCAGGGCTGGGCCTCATTCAGGGGCCGCCAGTCCACCTTCAGCCTCGAGCGGACGCAGCTCCGAAGTTTTGTAAAGCACGTCAAGTGCCGTACGCCTTACGCTCAAAGGTAGAGGCAGAAATTGACCGGTTAGTGGAAACGGGCGTTATTATCCCAATTCCCCATTCCGATTGGGCAGCGCCTGTTGTGCCGGTAGTAAAGCGTAATGGTAGCATACGCCTTTGCGGAGATTTCAAGATCACGGTTAATCAAGCATGTCGGACTGAACAGTATCCGCTTCCGCGAGTGGAAGATATTCTTGCAACGCTGAACGGAGGCGAAGTTTTTACTACGATCGACTTACGCGACGCGTACAATCAGCTCCCGTTAGATAAGGCATCTATGCTACTCACGACCGTGAATACGCAGAAAGGGCTATTCTGTTTTACTCGTCTGCCATTCGGCATCGCGTCAGCACCAGCGTTGTTCCAGCGGCGTATGGAGTCGATTCTTCAAGGCCTATCGGGAGTCCAGGTCTATCTGGATGACGTCATTATCGCTGAGAAACGTAATGACTGCACCCTACTTAGGAAAGTATTGCAAAGATTTCGTGAGTCGGGGGTACGGGTGCATCCAGGGAAGTCCAAGTTTCGACAGACCGAGGTGGACTTTTTGGGGCACCGAATTAGCAATCTAGGGGTGCAACCTAAGACAGAAAACATAGATGCAATCCTCCAAGTTAAGGCGCCCCGAACAGTAGCCGAAGTAAGGTCCTTTGCAGGGCTGGTGACTTACTACCACAAGTTCCTCAAGAACGCGTCCTCGATCATGGCGCCGTTGTACGAGCTTCTCCGCGCGGAGGCAAAGTGGGAATGGGGACCCAGACAGCAACGCGCGTTTAGCGAGGCGAAGACCCAACTCAAAAAAGCTGACTTCTTGGCGCATTTTGACCCAGACAAGCCGTTAATTCTTGAGTGTGACGCGTCACCATTGGGCATTGGCGCCGTACTGTCTCACGATGTTGGCCAGGAGGTCCTGCGCCCCATAGGGTTCCGCTCTCGCACACTCACAGCCGCCGAGCGGAATTATTCACAGTTAGAGCGGGAGGCCCTCGCTTTGGTGTTCGGTGTGTCGAAATTCCGAACATACCTCTTGGGAAGGTGTTTCACGCTCGCGACTGACCATAAACCCTTGTTGGGGTTGTTTCATCCTGATAAGGCCGTACCGGCGATGGCCGCGGGGCGGATCCAACGGTGGGCTCTGCTGCTGGGGGCCTACAACTACGTCATCCAGCACAAGGACGGCAAAGCCAATATTCCGGCCGACGCACTCAGCCGGCTTCCAGCGTCTGGATCAGCACCCCCTGAATCGGCGGAAGACGTGGATGGCTGTGAGTATGTTCTCCTCACTGAAAGCCTCAACGATGGCGCCTTGTCGGCTAAGCAGTTGGCCGTTTTGACGGCGGAAGATGATGGTTTCGCAAAGGTGCGGAAGTGGGTACAGGAAGGCTGGCCCTCTCGTCTAGCACTAGAGGACAGCCATTTAAAACCCTACTTTGACAGGAGAGACGAGATGACTGTTAGCCATGGGCTTTTGTATTGGGGCCATCGCGTGGTTGTGCCGCAAGTTGCCAGACCAGCAATGCTACGACTACTGCATGATACGCATCAGGGAATGGGCTCCATGAAGACGCTAGCTCGCTCAATGCTGTGGTACCCGTGCATTGACCAAGATATTGAGCGACTCGTAAAGACGTGCCATATTTGTGTGCAGGCCGCACCGATGCCACCTAGACAAACACCTGTTCCGTGGCCGGAGACGGGGCGACGCTGGTCCAGATTGCACATCGATTTTGCGGGACCAGTGGATGGTTTTATGTTGTTAGTTGTGGTAGATTCACACACGAAGTGGATTGAGGCGGTGCCCATAAAAAGTGCCAATGGGGTTTCTACGGTTGAGGCGTTGCGAACGGTATTTAGCACCTTCGGGTTGCCAGAAACCATTGTATCTGACAATGGCCCACAGTTTACATGTGAAGAGTTTGGAAAGTTTCTGCGGCTCAATAACATCGTTCACCTTCGTACGGCACCTTACCACCCCCAGTCTAATGGGCTGGCGGAGCGCGCCGTCCGTACAGTGAAACAGGGACTTAAAAAAAACAAGCAAGGGTCGCTGCAGACTCGTCTAGCAAGGGTGCTGCATCAGTACCGTCGGACACCTTCCGCAGGTGGCAAGACCCCGGCCATGCTGCTAATGGGATACGAGCTGCGCTCAAGGCTAGATAATGCGGTCGTACCCCCACCATCACGAGTCAACGATCGGAACGACACTTATACCAACAATCCTGTCCACACAGGGGAACCAGTATGGGTGCGAAATTTTGGAAGAGGTGAACTGTGGACACCAGCTAGAGTACAGTCCACGGACGGCGCACGCATGGTCACCGCCGACGGCAACGAGGGAGACGTCCTTCACAGACACCTCGATCAAGTCAAGCCCCGGCTTCCCGAAAGTCCACCGGAAAGTGCTTCCAGTCCGTCACGTCTCCCGCCGCCGGAGGCAGCGCCAGGCCTGCAGCGACCGACTCGAACCAGGAGAGCCCCAGTGCGGTTTTCCCCCTAGGAGGGAGAAGACTGTTGCAGATCGGCTACGCCGCCACAAGCACAGTGGCGCTTGTCATCTCATCTTCCACCTTCTCTCTCCCTTTCCCTCTCGCCTTCTCCTTGCCTGTCTACCATATAAAGCGCAAGCTGCGCACGAATAAACGTTGATTACCAGCCGCTATCGTCACGTTCTTGCGGCGTCGTAACAGTATTCAACCTATGCCCGCCCCCCCCCCCCCCCCCCCTTCCCCACCATAATTCCACAGTGCCAGGTTCCCTCCTCAAAACGGTCTACATCCGGACTCGAGCTAAAACGAAGTATAAAGCTCTCCGTTTTCCAGCCGTTCTGGCGAGCAAGTCGTACCTGTCTACAAGGACTAATGTTCCCTAAAACCGCGGTCACACTGCCAACAAACGTGACACAATAGACAGTCTGAAAACACTGTTTGGGGCGTTATTCCTTGGCGGTCCTGTGACATCGGTCATACGAAAACTGTCCGCATGTGCGTTCGACGCACTATGGATGCGCAGAGCCAGTCGTCCGCTTCTTGCGGCAAAGCTGCGGTGACGTCATAAAGACGCTGAGCTCTGATTGGCTCTGATTGAAGGGCCAATATGCATAATGTGCATATTTCGAAAGTGCTTGAGGACACGTGTCGGCAGACACCTCCGTCGCCATGTTTGCAACCAACACAGTGTCTTTTCTGGGACGTATGAGCAGGGTGGCTTAAACGTCGCTGACCCGTAAATCTGCACACTTAGTGTCTTTAACCTGTCCCCTTGAGTTCGTTATAGAACGATCGAAGTCCCAAATCCTATAATGAATAAAAACTGCGGGTCTAAATTCGAAATTGGAAAGGAATAAATCGGGGTTCGACATTTTTCACGTGGGATATACACCAACTATATCGATGAAAAAAAAAATTAAAAAAAAGAGTCAGCCTGCAGCCAATCCAAAAGACGAACTGTCATCCACAACCCCGCCTCGCCGTCTCCCTAATCCCTCCCGTCGGGGGAAAAAAAAAAGAAGAAGAAAGAACATTAACACGAAGTTTGCTTTATTCGAAATAAAAAAAAGGGGCAGAGTTAACTTACATTATAGAATAAGAAAAAATAATGAAAGTTTCATGAAGCCCGACTAGCTCGCATTCGTCGCTGCTTCAAACCACGACGCTATAGTCTCGGGTCTTGAATAATAAATCCAGAATTTCGACCAGATCCTCTCTCCTCCACCTTCTCTTTCCATCTTACAATTCCCCTCTTGCCCTCTTACATTCTCTTTTTTTTTTTTTTTTTTCGTAGCTTGTTGGAAAGAAGGAACGGTTGATTTCATTTTGGCGTGCCACGTGTCTCTTGTCTGCCATCAAGGGGGAGGTTGAGGGGAGGGTAGGGGGTTGGAAACTGATGACATCAGTTATTCATGATACAGTGGAAACACTCCCCCCCCCCCCCCTCCCCCACCGCCCCTCCGGGGGATAAAAACAGTGAAGAAAAAAAAAAACGTGTCCATAACCTTCCCTAACTTTAGTGAACGTTTCAGCCGCTAGGAGGACGGGGAGGGAACGCGGTGCTCCATCATAATATTCCCGTCTGCTATCGGGGGGAGGGCGCAAAATCAATAAGGTATACAGACATTCAATACGCGGTACGGAACACGCCTTCCCCTATAGGCGGCGTTGGTTCACTCACTCATCACTTAGCTAAGAGTGTGATGGAACCCTTTTCGTTGACTTCAGTCAATCAATCAATCAATCGTTTGTTTGGGTTTGTATACAAACAGAGGCCTTCTGCTAGTATAGGGTAACACATGCTACTCCGAGTGACGTTAAATGTATCTTGTAAGAACCGTTTGATCATGCCCAGAGAAAAAAACATCCCTAAAAAATTATATGAATGTGTGCAATAAGCATAGGAAAAAATTTTAAGATTATATAAGGACACATATCAGTCTGATATACACCTTATATAATTTAAGCTCTGGCATGTTTATTGGACAAATCATTTTTTCTCTTTTTTGATAGAAACGCTGTCAATAGCCTACTGTAAATATTTTGCTTAGGTCGCCATTGCGCTGATGGTTAACGTTCATTCATATCACCGCTCTTCAACACTATAGGTTAAAGCTCTGCGCTAAAAACGTTGAATTGTGTTCCGATCAAATTAGCGCTTAGAGCAAATTGACTGTAACTTAATTCGGACTGGAACGGTTTTTAAGCGAGGCATTGCACAGAATAGCTGACTTTGCAGATGTACATGAGTTGCAAGGTGACTTGCATGTAATCGTGCGCTTATCGTTTGCGCTATGAATCTGCTCACCCCGAATCGGGGAGAGAGAGACAGTCAAGCGAGAGATCTAAAAATGTTTCTAAAAGATTTTTTTTTGTTCATTGGTAGCATCGTAAGCAGCGCGAAAACTCATCGTGACAGATAAAGTTAATATTCAACATTACAATCTGCAAGGTAACGTGTAAGCTCATGGAAAACTGGGCGTGTACGTTTGTTGTTTTTTTTTTTGGCCCTCACATGTGGTACAACAAACTTAGGAAAGATTACCACCGACAGTCGTCGTACAGAGCAATGCATATCGTTCAAAATAAAACAGTAAAAGCACAACAATGTTTTGAATGAGAGAATAAGAATAAAATCAAAACGCGGCCGCCTTTAAGAAAAAACGGGAGGCAACGCAAAGGACTGAACGTTTTAGACTCCCTTCTTTCCTTTTCCCCGCGCCCCCAGCTCGCGAAGTCATTCACTTCCCCAATTCCGGACCCGGCATCTGGCAACATTGTACGCAGCGTCCCATCATGCCCCGCGCTTCGTGCCATCGATTTCAGGTGTGTCACGCACTGCTCTCTTGCACACCTCCTGTTTATTCAGCTGGAAACGTTGCGTCGAAACAGAGACACGCAAAAAGTAAATGTACCCAACGGACAAAAAGAAGAAACTCTTCGAAGCAAGCAAACAAATAAAAAGACACCCCTGAAACAACAGTGCGACCAAAGAACTGGATAGGGGTCAGCAGAGTAGCAATTTGGAGAGTGTATGGATAACGAAAAAGAAAAAACAGTGACATATACAACGTGTAATGGCCATCGCAGGTCCGCGGTTGAAATCGAACGAGTTTGTAAACAGACGACGTGACCTCTATACTGAGCTGGTAGTGCGGTGTATACACCACAAAAAAAAAAAAATACAAACAAATAAGAGAGTGGTAAAAAGAAAAACGAACGCAGCCGAAACAAAGAGAGAAAAAGCGTTTATGCAGCAGGATAATAAAGTAAAAACGACAAATATGGCGGCTTCGCAAAAAGGCAGATGGTCGGTCGTCTGCCGCCACGACTCCGCGCGTGCAGCAGACGACCTGCTGACGCCCAGTTCGTCTGCTATATCCGTCCGTTTTTGTTGGATTTATCTCGTTGGCTCTTCCAAGCGCATTCAGAGTTATTTAAAATTCTGCGTCCCGCGTAGTCGTTGTGTGTTCAATGCATGCCTGTAAAGCTTAGGTCACATTGCCCCAAAATTGAATATGCTTCTGCTATGCGGGATCCTGACCAGGCCTATACATCATAAATAACATTGAATTCCTGCAAAACCGTGCTGTTCATATCGGTTTTTTTTTTCTATTATTATTCACCGTTTTTCAGTGTCACAGAATTAAAAAAATTGTGCCCAATTGCAAGCCTTATCTCATCGCCGAAAAGTCGCTCGTCTAACACCGTTCCACAAACTTTACCATCATAAGTCTCGCTTCACGATGATTTCTTTCAGGCGCCTCATATTATTTTTCCACGCCGGCGTCCCTCAGATATAAATTTAAGCGTATCACACGCCACTCATCTCTTTATGCGCAGTCATTCGTACCGCGAACAATAATCGATTAGAATGGCCTGCCAGCACACATAGCGACTGAAGATGAGGTAACAAAATGTCAAGGACTGGTGTGCACTGACAATAACATCGAGTTGTTGTTATTTTGTTTTTCTCTCGTCTACTTCTTTGTACTTTACTTATAAACCTTTTTTATCGTTTTCGCGTGTTTTGTTCATGTGGTGTTACAGTCACACTCACTCCCTCCCCCCCCCCTCCCCCCCCTCCCCCCCCCCCCCCCCCCCCCCATATGAAAAGCCCTCCCTGGGGCGGTCTTTCGGGAATACTGAATGAGTAAACAAATATGTAGAAGGTCGCGCGGGCGCCTTATCGCAACCGCTAGCTTTGTACCTGCTCAAAGAGCGGTAACTTTAGTGCACTACTACGCTTCTCACGCGCTCAAAGTCTTTCTGAAAACGACTGATTTAGTGGTTTTCGATAACGCTCAGCAACTTTCTAATTGGAACCATATGTCTATTTCCCCTAATTAAAAAGTTAATTAACAAATTTTAATTAATTAGCTGGCTAATTAGTATGTTTTTGGCAATCCCTGACGTCCGCCGTGTCTGGTAGTTTGTTCCCGAAGACAGTTTCTTCTTTTTTCAAACGCCCTAATTTTTAGGATTTCTGAAAGTCTTCGCAGAAACACCCGGTATATATATATATATATATATATATATATATATATATATATATATATATATATATATATATAGATAGATAGATAGATTGGACAAGAGGTGCAATCAACCCGTCGAACGACGCTCGGCATCGGGTCCAATGGCCGAGTTGGCTCCATCTTAGGGTGATGACGTCATACATAGAGGCAGAGGAGGCTGTTCACACGATTTTATTACTTCCTCCAGGTGGCGCTAGATGAGCCCATTCGACTGTATACAGCGTGTTTGGTTAGAATCATTCATCACTTTGAGAACAACTTAACCGACAATCACGTGTACGTGCTAACTGTGCCGAGCTCTTGAATTGTCCCCTCCCTGAATTTACCTTGCTAGGCCTTGTCTTTGCTGCGGCTGTTAGATCTTTGTAAATGCATACTAGCAGTCATTGATGGCGTGCGTTACAGCCTATCGTTGGTGACAAGGATAGAGAACGAGCATTTATTTGAATAAAACGAGATCAACGAAACGCTAAATGCCGGCTCGCTATACACTGTGGTTCGTGACATAGGAATCAA